ACGCAATCTACGCAGAGTTCGTATCCTTTCTCACAGTTAACGTAGTTGCAAGACTGGATGATTAGTGCTTCCTTGACACACCTGTACAGCCTTCGTGTCCTCCTGATGATGCCGGCACCCACTGATTATTGGGTACATGCCCTTCCTCTCCCACGCGGTGCATAATCTCACACATCTTTCCTTGATTTGACTGCGGAAGGAAGGACTTGCTGTATTCTTCGGTGCTCCTTAACACCTGTCGTGCACGCTTGTTCGCTATCATCTATCTGCTTCAGCTTGCTAAATGGGTCACTATTCTTTGAGTGGCGGCGTTCCTTGATCCCCTATATAATACTTCGTGCAATTACATTGTATTTTATAAACCCATCTTACATAATAATAATAAAGTATTCAATTTTTTAGAGCTTATATTCATTTGAATTTCCATGACAGCTTGTCATTCGGGTCGCGGAGAGAGACGCGTCAGACACTTCGTCCAACTTTCACGATCCTGTGCCAGCGTTCAAGTTTCAGCAGAAGATAATCTAATAATCAAAATCCTTCAAGATATCTGTTATTATTCGCAGGGTCTACTGCAGGTCTGTTCGCCAAGTACTAGTTGTTTCTTCTTCTTTCCTAGAAGTATTCGCAAAACGTGCACAAACTATCGCAGCTGAATTGTCAAACTGTACATCGAGGATCTCCCAGATTTCTGTACTCCGGACCATGTCGACACTCGTGAGGACAGCGATTTTTCTCTCAAGGCCAATTTCACCTACTTCTACCCGCCATCAGTGTTTCACAGAGAATAGAGCTTATGCATAAGCTTATTCTATGGTTTATAATATTATTGACAAATTTAAATGGATAGTTATTATAATCACATCATGCTAGTTTAATGGGGTTTATTTCTTTTATAACAAATTCATTACTTCATATCTACAGAGCTGCCTATTAAGGGTGTAACTACACATCTTTCTTACTTAAATGATTATGCGAAATGAAGTTTAAACAATAATCATTGTCATCATTTCTATGATAATCTTTCGTTTTATAGTAATTCACAGATGATTATTAAAACATAAACAAAAAGCAGACCAGACTTATTTTCTTTTGAAATAGCTTACTAAACATTTTGAGGAAAGATATTACCGAAGAGGCCTTGTTTTAATTACCTCTGTGACACTTAGCAAAACACGGTCTACATATCTTTTGAAAACCCTAGGAAACAGGTCCGGATTTGTTTCTCGTTCCACACTTTTAAAGAAGTTCCATAAAAAGTTTGGCAAGGGTTAAGTAAAGTGGGCTGTCTATGTGTGAACCTTTGGTTGCTTTGAAAAATCCAACATCGAATGCCAAATAATTCGCCTCTACGGTCCAAAAACTTATTAACTAAGAATATAATACGTTGCATAGGTGTATTGTGTTTAAAAAATTTGCTGATAATTTTGATAGTAACGTCAACAAGAAAATAAGTAAACAGGTCATTACAATCGTAAGTGATCAAATTGCCCTTTCCAACGAAAGTATTTATTTGTTCAGTTAGCTGCAAAACTAGTGGCAACTTTCAATGCATGTAATGTTTGCGCTCTGCATAAATAAACCGTGTTTAATTTTTTCGGTAGATCAGTAATGCACGAACGAAAAACAACCTTTATGATAATTATTACCCGTCTAACCGAGTCAAGCATTAATCAGTAATGAAACGTTGGTGCTGTATAGCATACACAGTAAAAAACTTATTTAAACACTGAATGAAGAACTGTTCAAGCATTATTAACATCTGTGAATAATCACAGAGGTGAGAAAATCTGTGTTCAGAAAGAACCCGTTCGCTCTTCGGTACACAGTCGTTGGTTGCGGAAAAGCAGAACGCGGCATACATCACAAATCAAATTTCACAACAGTTAAAAACAGTTTGGAGGCAAAAAGAAATGAAGTGCATCTAATTTGGGTACTGATGTTATGTTCGGTATGTACGAAGCAGAAGCTTGAACAAAAGTAGCATGTCGTTGCGATGAAAATAAAATTCATACATAGAAAACTAGGTATAAATTTACATGGCTAAATATAGGAAGGATCTGTAACTGGAGAGAAATGTACACTACCAACTTCGACTGAAGAGCAATCAATTTTAACCTACGCGGTACTGCAAACCGACAGTACAACTTCCATTTCATACTTTGGCCGTTGGAAGTCCCCACGGTACCGCCGTTCACCACTACCTGCTCGGTCGCTGGGCTCCACATCGTCCAACCTGTCCGTATATCAACCGTCACGTTACATAACAACGAACACCGATTCTTTTTATGTTTCGCTAGCAAAAACAGTAAAACTGAACATTCAATAACAGTAAAAACAACACTAACTTTTCGAACACAACCAGAAAGAGTCAAAGGCGAGACTCGACGGTCGAGAACAATCAGAAGAACAGAACATTGAGGAGCGAAGTTTTATTTATTGCAAAAATTCAACCGTGGCAATGTCGCATGATCAACATACAGCAACGCATATCGACCAATCAGTGTACAGCAAATCAGCATTTAACGTTTAAAGAAAAGTGGGAAAGGTATGTAAATAAAGAGACAAGCCACAAAAGTAAGAAATAATGACGACGACTATTCTTCGCATGATCGAAGTGTGATTAAGTGACAGCCAAGTGACAGCGTTGGAGCCAATCGAACTGCCTATGATCGAACTGTTACTCATCTTGTCCGTTGAAGACGCAAAGTCGGACGAACCCCCGCTTCACATTCTCTACTGAGTCTTCTTCGTATCGACGACGTTGGTCGCTGATGAGCCGTCTTGATCGATGGACAGCGGTCGTTTGACCGGATCCTCGACTTCGGCAGAAACGTCGATGTCGCCGCGAGTGCCGAACTCGTTGATGCGTGTCAGGTCGACGCGATATATCCACCGTTGGTAGACGTAGATGAGAAACACGATGTCGTCGCGGAAACAACCGATGCGGTACATGGTCGGCATCTTGATGACGAATGCGAAGATGTCGTCGATGAACGTGTTCAGAAATTTGTAGGTGAGCATGCGCCAAGGCAGGTGAGCCACCGACTTCAGTTTGTAATTGATGAACAACTGCGGAGTCATCATGATGAAGCCGAACGTCAACAGAAAGCCGTACAACATGTTTAGCAGCCATGAGTACCAACCGCGGTGCTCCTGGTATAACAGTGAGTAGACAGCATACGACGCCAATAGGGGGAACAACACCCAAGACAGGTACTTGAACGCCATCATGTCGTATACCTTGGTGCTTGACTGGACGTATGAGCCACGGTCGGTGATGGTGAGCCGCGGCACG